TTGTAATCATTTTTTCCTCCTTTTCTTCTCTCGTTTCTTTCTTTTAAAAAACTGCAGTTCGTCCACATCAACAACCTGAAGCTGATCTGCAGGGCTCATCAACTCGTCCATGAGGGCTACAAGTTCATGTTCGATGAGAAGCTGGTAACTGTGTGGTCAGCTCCCAACTACTGCTACCGCTGTGGCAACATAGCCTCCATCATGGTCTTCAAAGACGCTAACACGAGAGAGCCCAAGCTGTTCCGAGCAGTGCCCGACTCTGAAAGAGTCATCCCGCCCCGAACAACAACACCTTATTTCCTGTAAGCAGGTCAAAGCTCAAACGCAGGCATTTGTGCAGTGCACAGTGCTGACGGGGACAGCTGCATCAGCACTTGAGAGCCCATATACATTTAATACGTTTAGAGTATCTACAGTGCATTTTTGCTGCCAACTGTCAATTGCTACTCCCACTCTGTGCATTCAATACCATTATTCTGCAGCTTAAACCAGTACAGCAAAGGAGGCTTGCTGAGCAGTGTCACACTGCTGGTGTGTAACAGAAAAGAAGAAAGTTGGCTAACCCCTGTAAAATATTCATATTTATAAATCAACATAAGTTGTCACTGCTAAGCAAACTGTGCGCAGTGTCCTAAAGACTCTTCTATTGTAGTTTCTTATGTAAATACAGCTGCGTGTCAGAGGAGCACGCACTGCACAAACGGAAACGTTGTATCTGTCCAACCAAGTTTCAAAAGAGGTGTCCTGCTCATGTGATATCATAAATGAATAAATATGTAAACCAGAGAGTTGATGTATTAAATCAAATGTATTCTTTCCTATCTTGTTGGAAATATCAGTATTGTTAAATCCATGGTACCCAAACTTTCAACAATCTGCTCTTGTAATTATATTTTTTTCTGTGTGTTGCTTTAAATAAAGAAGTCCAAAAAATTCTGATTTAATGTTGCAGCTTGGAAGAAGAGCCAAGAATGACCGCTCGGTTCATCTGCACTCATGAGCTTAACATCTTTGGTATTAGTGCTATTTATGCTATATCCTGGATATTGTGTCATTTATTTAAGTAAAAGAAAAACCAAAACTCAGGCACTGTGTTACAATTCATTTTATACTGAGTGCATGAACACACAGGTGTTGTAAAAGTTACAGCATTTTGAGTTTCATGCTTTTAAATGACACCAACTCTGGCCAGAAGACTGTTTTTATGCACATTCATGTCTTACAATTAAACCCAAAAGGTTGAGCTGATGGATTTCTTCCTTTAGTAAAGCAGTTTCTTTATCGTCTGGAAAAACTGAGACGTACTGTTGAAACTGCGCTGTGAGGTTCAACTTCTTTACACAGACAGGAGAGTTTCACAGGTCCGGCCCACACAAGGTAAAGTGGACTGTATGTGGCCCATCATGTTAAATAACTTTGCCTGAGCTTCCGATATATTTAGCTGTATGAAAAGTTGCATTTAAAATCTGCCAGAAATGTTCATTTATGCTTGCTACTTTTATGCAGTGCTAACTAAAGGGCTGCAGCCTTTGCTGCATTGACACAGAATAAAGAAATGATGTTTTTTCTGTGTAAACGGGGCTGTGGGATGTCATTATCTTCTTATTGCTGAGAATTGTAGCACATAAACAGTTTTGGAGATGCTCTGATGTGTGGTCATCTGCAATCAGAATTTGGCACTTTTCAAACTTCAAATCCTTACACCATTTCCCTGTTTCCAACACA